TTCGTAGAAAAAGAGCTAGGGGAACTCATTAGCATAACTCATTAGCATATGCCACACCCCCTGACATCAGGGGCCCGGCGGTGGACCTGCAAGGCCAGCGGGAGTGCGAGGAAGCCCCGCCAAGGCCCTCCCTGGCCCCAGGCAGGCAGGGGTGGGGAGAGGCGGGGAGGAAGCAACTTACCCTCCCTCTTCTCCTGCCTCCTCCTGGCTGAATGAGGGCTGGAAGCGGGGCGGCCGGAAGCAGGGGGCGGGGCTTCGTCATGTGCCCCGCCCCCTGCACCTCACCTGGGGGAACTGTGTTCCCCCGCATTCCCCCCCGAAATGACCTCTGCTCTTACAACTTATGTAAGGCACGGGTAGTCTCCAGCAAATGATCATGCAGTTCTGAACAGTAGTTGCAGTTTAAATACATGCAGTCTGAATAGTCCAAAAAGCAAATGAAAAAAACAGAAATTAATGTTATCATTTTTCAAGCTGTCATTTTAAACATAATTATATTTGGACCCCTCACTATTTTCAACAGGCAAAAAAGAATCACAAATAGGAAACTAATTAACTCCACTGTTCATGCAAAGAATGCTCTGTTGTAGATACAATAAAGCCCTTCACAACTGAGAAATCAAACATTTGTGAGAGCAAATTGAATTTTCTAGAAATAATACACCCACTAGTGAGAGCTGCTGAAGCCACAAGGTATTTGTATGTTGTTCTATGGTATTTATTTGAAAGTAAAATGTTTATCAATGATGTTAAGTTGTACAGCATTGAAACTACATAGTCAGACTCTGCAAGTCCTTTTTTTCTTTCTTTCCAGAAGGAAAAAAGAAAAAAAGGGGGGGGGGAATTAAAATCCAGCAATTAAGTAAGATTTTAAAAGGAAAAGAAAAAACAATGAAGACAACATTATAACAACAACAGTGGTAGATCTACACTTAAATTTCTATAAATCATTTCCAAATATCTAAAAACAAGTCCATATGCAATTTCCATCTATATGCTATGTGTTCAAATGTTGATAGAATTCTAAGGTCCTCAATCCACTGATTTACTGGAGGTGGACTTTTAACTTTCCAATATTGTAATATGAGTCTTTTAGCTGTAGTAAGGACATGGAGGGTCCATTTTCTCCAAGAGACGTGCAGATAGTTTAAGAATCCTCAAAAATCAGTGAACATTCAAATATAAAATTGATATGAGTAATAACTTCTTCCCAGAAAAAAAATGAATGCCTGGGCCTACCCAAAGCATATTTAAGGGACACGTCCTGTAAGTTGCGATGGCAACAATTAGATACTTTACTCAATCTTTTGCTAAAGAGCTGCTGTCGTGTCCGGTATATTTATTTATTTTATTTTATTTTATTTAACTTGTATCCCACTCTCCCCCACAAGCAAGCTTAGGGCGGGTCACAACAGAGATATAAACAATAAAACAACTTCTTAAAACCATAACAATAAGAATCCTGAGTAAAAGACACATGATAGGCCAGCAATAATCAGTTGTGCAGCTTGTGTTGAAGATCAGGCGAGCAGAAATATGATAAACAGTCTTGTTACAATTGATGGTGATGACTGCCATCTGCACCATAAGGCGATGTGAGGGCAGTTTGGGAAGGAGGGGCCTAAATGAATAGACACCCACCAGTTAGCTGAAAGCCTAGTGGAACAGTTCCATTTTACAGGCCATGCAGAGCTGTAATAAAGCCTGCAGAGCCCTGATCTCAACTGGGAGCATGTTCCACCAGACTGGGGCTTGGATAGAGAAGGTGCTGGCCCTAGTCGAGGCCAAGCAGGTGTCTTTTCGGCCCAGGACTGCCAGTCGATATTGCTCTGCCAAGTGTAAAGCTCTCCGGGGCACATATGGGGAGAGACGGTCCCACAGATATGATGGACTCTGGCCACATAGGGTCTTAAAGGTTAACACCAACACCTTGACCTAGACCCAGTACTCAATTGGTAGCCAGTGCAATTGGCGCAGCACCAGCTGAATTCACGCCTGCACAGATGTCAGTCGGAAGGTGCACCACTGCATTTTGTACCAGCTGGAGTTTCTAGGTCAGATTCAAGGGAAGATCCACATAGAGCGAGTTGCAGTAGTCAGACCTGGAAGTGACCATTGCATGGATCACTGTAGCCAAGTCCCTGGGGGAGAGATAGGGAACTAGTTGCCGAACCAGTCGAAGATGGTAAAAAACTGATTTGGCAGCATTGGTGACCTGGACCTCCACTAACCATGTCCCACCAAGGATTGGGAGGCAGATTCCCAAGTCTGCCCCCCCCCCCGAATCAGGAACTGGACCTCTGTCAGATGGATTTAATTGCAGCCAACTCTGATGCAACTAACCAGCTATGGCTTCCAATGGGGCTGAGTCCAGCCGGCCATCCATCAACAGATACAGCTGGGTATCATCAGTGTACTGGTGACAACCCAGCCCAAATCCCCGGATGAACTGGATGAGGGGGTGCATGTAGCTGTCAAATAACACTGGAAAGAGAATTGCCCCCTGAGGGGCACCACAAACTAGTGGGTATTGTGGTGAGGTCCTCTCCCCCCCACCCTCTGTCCCCAACCCTGGAGAAAGCTATTGCAAGGCAGTCCCCCATATTCCCATGTTGGCGGGGCAGTGGATCAGAAGATCTTAAGATACCTAAACATAATTTTTTGCTGAATAAGTCTCAACTTAAGACCCGAAGAGAGAGTAGGTATAGACTTCAAGGCCATATCACATTGCTTTGGCAACATAGGGCAATCTAATTCCTTATTTATTAATTAACATCAAATATTTATAAACAAATACTGTAGATTTTGTTTTCTGCCTTGATTCAATTAGAGCTTCCAGGAGCCAAAGGGGATCCTGAGACACTGCAGGGCCATATTTACATTCCAACAAATGTTGCAAGTGTAAATACTGGCATTCCACAGATGGTGACAAAAATTCATCTTCATAATCTATCAACTAATTCAATGTAAAAATCCCCTTAGCAGTCGAAGCCTTCCACACAAAAAATATTTCTTCCCAGTTTTTAGATTTGGATTGGCCCATAATGTTAATTTAGAATGTGAAAATGGATCGAAATTGATATTGTCATGCCATTTTACACCATTGTTCTCAAGTTGTAGAAACTACAGGAGGAATGGGATCCACTCTAGCATAAGTAGATGCTAATGCATTCCACTAAGAGAGGTGCACCAGAAAATGCCTCCAAAAGAGCCCAAGATGGACAGTCCAACTTCAAGAAGCAATCCCAATGATAGTTACAGGTTAACAAGTAAGCTAAAATCAGGGATACCAAATCCTCCTTCACTAAATGAAAGCTGAATCCTCTTTAAAGAAATCCCTGGTGGTGAGGAACCCCACATAAATTTCTGAAACAAAGTATTAATGTTTAACAATTTGGTACCTCAATCCTGAAGCACACTAATTGGAAATACAAGGCTGTCTACACAGAACATGAGCATGTATATATCTGAAACCTAATAATTTTTTAAAAAATAAACAAAGGACAGCTTCAGGAGAGGGGAATGGAGTGAAAAAGTGGCAGCAGAAACAAGACATTGGTGCTTAACCCATATGTCTCCAAATTGCCCCACCAAGTAGGTCCTTGTTCTCTTGCATGATTCAAGTCTCTGTGTGTGATGTGACACATAGACCTAGAAAGGATGGGCCATTTAAGTATGGGCCAGGGATAGAGAAAAGCAGCTTCTCATTTTAAAAGCTGAATGGCAAAATCCACAGGGATATTATGAATTTGGTACTGTCTGCTGCTGTGTGTTTGCTTCTACCAAATTTTCATAATACTTGCACAACTGAACATCTATAAATGAACAGATTCTTAGCAAATTGCAATGATCTCCAGTACTCTCTTTTAAAGGAAACTGACCCTGTACTGCATTGGAAATGCCTCCTGTTGGAGGGGAAGTGAAACATTTTTTTTGCCCGTCAGTCATATACAGTTTGACGTTTCTGTAGTATAATTCAATAATTGGGATACTTAGCATTGATATACTTCTTTATAATGATTAAATACATTCTCATTAATCCCTACAACCAACCCTATTCCATAGTCTGGTATTATTATCCCATATTTCAGATTGGGTGGCAGAGGCTTATCTTGGCTGAGGCCAGTGTTCCCTCTAAGATGAGTTAGTGTGAGCTAGCTCACCGTTTTTTAGCCTCTGGGTCACATTTTGTCTCCGCTCAGGAAGGATGGCTCCAGAGCAAACCAACTTATGCAGCAGCCAAATCGCTCGCTCATAACTTTAATGCCAGTAGCTCACAAAGGAGAATTTTTGCTCACAAGACTCCACAGCTTAGATGGAGCATTGGCTGAGGCCACGGTTTACAAGAGCTTCCAGCAAGCACTCATAGGCATTGCAACACCCCAGCTCACTATTATAAATTAGTGCTACGTGCATTCAGTTTTGAGACTCTTTCTGCCACTGAAGGCATTTATTTGTGACTGTTTTATTGTACTTACTCTGGAGCGGGCCCATGGAATCGACAAGGGTACCCTGTCTTGAGTAAAAGGGCCATGAGCTTGGAGCCAGGCATCCCAATTGCTTTGGATGGCAAATGTGTATGGACATTAAAATAAAACGATTGCGGCCTCAATAATCTGACTAGATGTGCTACATATTGTCTAGGGTTGTCACTGTTTCCTGACAAGGGTAACTGCAGCATGAGATACTGAAATCCAACAGATGCAAATTTTTATCACGAACAGACGAATTTTAGAGGCAAAAAAAAGGCCTTGCCAAAAGACGTGACAACCCCAAACTCCCTTTCGTCTACATCCTCAACGAAGGTGGAGGCTCTAATGACGACACCGACATCCTTCCTAAGCCGTCGCTGTATCTCTGGCGCCCCTCCTAGAACTCCGCCGAGAATTGTAGGCAACCGAACATCTCTCCGCCCCCGTTGCTACGCTTACAGGCTGCCGGAAGAGCTCTCTTTCCGGTCCGTCACTATCAAGAATCACTTCCTGTGTGGTGCCCTCGCCTGGCAATGGCGGCGTCGGCCGCAGCTGCTGCAGTCGTAGTAGCAATAGTTTTTTTTGTGCCAAGATGCGCTTTGTGAGCGTGGTTGCTGTTGCTGCTTCTCTATATTTTCCCCGCCTCTGTCATCGGGTCGACTAGGCTCTGAGGGCTTACTACAGCCAGCTGTTCGGTTTCTGCTTCTACCTTTGCCGCGATGGCGCCGGTGCAGTTGGAAAGCCACCAGCTGGTCCCGGCTGGGGGTGGGCCTGCCTCAGCCCCGGCTCCGCCACCGCCAGGGGCGGCGGCAACTGCAGCCAGTCCCGGCTACCGACTCAGCACTCTCATAGATTTCCTGTTGCATCGCACTTACGCAGAACTCACCGTGCTCGCAGACTTGTGAGTTCCTTTGATCTCTTCCCCATCCTCACATCTCTTTCCTTCTCGCCTGTCCGCCACCCCCCGCCTTACTTTACAGAGATCCCCCTGTGATCTTGGTCTCTCTTAAAACTCCCCTCCCCCGGTCAGTACCCGTTAAGTAATTTTACGGCCCTTATAATTATGAGCCTATGTTGGTTACCCAACTTTTAGAAATGTTGTGTTCCTGCCTGACACCCCCTCCCCTTGTGGATCTGTTCTTTTAATCTCTGTACCCTTAGCAACACTCTCTAAATCAAGGGTTGGTGCCACACTATCTTTCAGGGGAAAGTTTCATGGTTTATTTGTATTCTCAACAGAGGATAGAGAGAATTATGTATGGGAACAGAATTGATGACCTCTCTTAGAAATTCCAGACCCCGACCTTTTGCCTACTTTATCCTATAAAGGAAGGATTCTGTATCCTGTTCACGGTGCTTGCATGATCTGCTCTTGTGGGCATCAGGATGATAATTCTTAATAAAGACTATGCTCTGTTGGCCAAAAGCCTTGGGTGAATTTCTCTCCCCTAGATATGTTCTTGGTGAGGGGCCTGCCTATTCTAGGCTCTCTCATAACAGCTCTCCATGTAGTCCACTAAACGATCTGAGGGAAAGGGACATGGTGCTGATGATAGATGGCTTCTTTTGGCTTGAACAATATCCCAGGTGTCTTCATGCCCTGTGATTTCAGGTGGATGCCTAAAATTTAAATGTACCCCTGAAAATGTAAAATGAGAATGGGCAAGCTAGCGTGGAAAACATCTGAATAGTAGGTTTGTCAGAAAACTAGAGCAGCTTCAGATTTGAGTATACATTTAGTGACAGAGCCTGGCTTTGTGATTTGTGATGGTAAATAGTATTGCATTTGCTACAGTAGCATTGCTTAAACTAGCTAAGAAAAGATCATGTTTGTCAGGTTAAAATTATATGGCAGAATAGAAAGCTGTGACCCAGCAGGATGTTGCACTTTAGCTCCAAACACATCCCTTCACCTGTTCACTCATGGCATCCATGCTGTTTTGGGGGGATAGTATGTTACTTCCTATTTTGGCTGTATTTATGGAGTAAGTTGCTTGTTATAATAGTGGTTTAAATGGTGTTGTGCAGTACACCACTGCATGATTAGTTCAGAATGCTGTAAATAGCTTAAATGCTGTACAGACTATGCCCTAAAGCTGGAAGGTATATATAGAAGTACATGACAGTTATATAACCTGCCTGCCTTCTAGAGTATTGTATGCAATAGTTTGAGTAATTAATATGCAGATGGGGTCGGATGAAGTTTTACTCATGGATATTTTAATTCATTAAAATTGACTGTACTACAACATGCATGGCAACTCTTTCGGGAATACCATGAAGTAAACTGTTTGCTATGAAAGCTAACGTTTTAATAAGCCGATTAGTTTCTACGCTTCCATGTCTCTTTCTCATCTGACATGCTAATTACATCTGCGGCCTTACTTCAAACCAGTTGTTATGAAATATGTTTAAGTTAAACTGCACTGATTTCAGTGGGTCTAAATGAATTCAAACTATTAGGTTTTTTGTGGGTTACAGCAGCAGACTTTTATGTTCTTGGTGAGGGTCCTTACAAAAATGTTTGAAAACAACTGTGAAAGGTGGCATGTACACTTCCTAAATAGATAAATATAGTTTCTTGGTGATGGAGCAGAACATGTAATTTTGCTTGTGCTGAAATTATATACTCTTAAGAATTAAAAAAAATCAGTACTGTGACTTGGAGTTTATGGACACTTCATAATGTTGCTAGTAAAGGTAAAGATACAGGTTACTGAGATCTAGAATTGTGAAGCTGAATGACAGCTAATCCACATTTTATAGTGGCAGGTTGTTTACCATAGTTATAGTACTGTTTTTGGGGAGGATGTGAAATGGGAAAAGAAAGGCATGCTATCAAGAATCACTTCCTGTGTGGTTCCCTCACCTGGCAATGGTGGCAGTGGACATTGTGGAGTAAGTAGTGTGGAAAACATCTGATTGTTAGGTTTGTCAGAGAACTAGAGCAACTTCAGATTTGGTATACGTTTAGTAACAGAGCCTGGTTTTGTACATTGTAATGGTAAATAGCAAGTTATTTACAATCTGTGAAGTGTGACTCAATTATTTAAGTTCAGTGTTCTAGGTTTCTGTACTTTAGTAAGCCCTTTGAACATTAAATACTAACAATTAATGTAAGCAGATCATTAATTCAAAAGAGCAGAAACTTCAAATGCCAGTGCTTAAAGTAACAAAATTATTAGTTTCAAAACAGAATGGCTTATAAGAGTGCCATTGAATGTAGTCCATTGTGTTAAACATAATGCATAATTGATGGGATGTGAAATGTGCACCTTCTTGTAAACTGTAGTTTTAACATCTCCATGATATCATATCTTGTTGTCTTCTTCTTTTTTTAAACAAAAACAGATTACCAAGAAAGACTGATATGGAAAGGTAAGTAATGACTAGGCTTGTCTATTTAAAAAACTAGGTATGTATGTTTACAATTAACTTTTATCAAATTTAATTATTGGGGGAGGGGTTGCTGAGTAATAATTGGATGAAATGGGTCCTTCACTAAGATTTGTCGGAGGAGAAAGGTCTGAAATTATACTGAATCACTGTTATGTTGTAGAGTAAAATTACCCCATTTTTACTGAATGCATAGTATAAAAATCAAACCATACTGAGTTGAATCTTTTCTTACATGAACAGAGTGAATTTACAAAAGGGATTTTTAATGCTTTTCTCCTTAGCGGCAGCCTGTACTTGGGAACAGTCCTGCAGGAAGAAAGGAGAATTTGCATTGCTCCCCCTCTTTCTTGTGTGAGCTATTCTGCTAATAAAAGAGTGGGGGGAGGGTTCCACTGATTTCTCTGCTCTTGTTCCATCCCCGTTGTGCTTATTCCATGTCACTCTTGGGATAGGTGGACAAAGGGGCTACTGGAGAAGATAGCAAAAATCTAATTTCCTGGATTCTGTTTATTTGTGCTCAACTGCATTGAGCCCAAGGAAGAGATGGAATACAAGTCACACAATGGGATAAAAAGAAAGAAAGAATATGCAACTAAAATACTAATATCTGGAAGTGGTGGTGGTGAAAAGTGCGATCAAGTCACAGGTGACTTATGGCAACTCCATAGGGATTTCAAGGCAAGAGATGTTCAGAGGTGGTTTGCCATTGCCTGCCTCTGCATAGCAGCCCTTGACTTCCTTGGTTGTCTCCCACTCAGGTACTAATCAGGACCAACCCTGCTTAGCTTCTAAGATTGGATAAGACTGGGCTTGACTGGGTTATCCAAGTCAGGGCTGATATCTGGACATACTACATAATAATTATAACCTGTTTTGGCAGCAAGCTCAGAGTTCAGTTTTCAAATCTAAAACATATTCCCTCAGATTCTGTGCTTCAGCTAGAAGTAGCATATGATAAGGAATAGACTTGCTTAGACAATTTTGAAATGACACCTGTATGCTGACTTATCGGTTAACCATAGTTAAGAATAGAATTTTAATAATGGCTAAGGTATTGGTTACAAACTGGGAGGTGAAACCACTTTGCAATCTTGCCTTTTTGCTTGTTTTTCCTTAAGTCTTACCCTAGTTAGGTATATGTGTATCTTGACAAGCTATACCATGATTTGACTTGTACTTCTGGAATACTAACTAGTGTTAAGGCAAAAAACAGAGGGGCCTCTAACTGGTCAATTGCGATAGACTAGTAGTTGCTGCAGTTTGTTCCTAAGGCTGCAGGAAGCCCGAGTACAAATGAGTGCTGGGCAGCTTTCTTGTGAGCTGTTCTCCTCCTGGTGCATTTTCACTCAGTTGCAGTGCACTAAACCAGCATGAGAGGAGGGTGATGTCACCGGGCTGTTCACATCTTAGCTGCCAGGGGTAAAGTCACAGCAGGAAAGCTGCCCTGGTGGCTACTCCCTGCCACTCCATGGGCTGGCACAAGGTGGGAATGCCATGTAAAGTGGTGATAGCAGCTCCTCCAGCTTCATAGTTCCAGCTGTGGAATTGGCTGGAAGTTGGAGCTGTGTTGGGTTGCGGGTGCTCACGGGGGACCCGGTGACACCACCTCCACTTGGAAATAGCTCTTGCCAACAAAAAATGTGGCTATCTCTGTAATAGAACCATTGTTAGTGCTAAACTATAGTGAAGTGATACTTTTTTTGGTGCATAATCATCTCTGTTTGCTTGCATTCTTTGAGAATTCACTTCCAAATGATGAGCTTTCCAGTTTTATGTTAGCTAAATGGTTCAAACCTTGCATTTTGTGTTGATGTGGTATATGTATACCTGGGTGCATGCATTTTTGAAAAAGATTTTCTTCATAATGAAATATTTTATGCCTATTCAAAAAAGCCTATTAATTCCTCTCTTCCTTTGTATACCAAAGTATGCCTAGTGTAACACTTCAGCCTTTCGTCTAGCTAGTCAAATCTGAACTTTGCTTCAAAAGCTAGTTTAATATTATTTAAAGGCTAATAAGGCCTCTATGAGAATACTTAGAATATGCTGCTTTAAGTCATGGTAGACAGACTAGAGTAGTTGGGAATTCTCACTGAGACGGTGTGAATATTAATTGCTAGAGCACCAAATTGTATGTGATGTCCTGACACTGCATTGGGGTTCCTTCCAGCCTGTGGTAAGTTCATGACACAGCAGTCTTGCTGAAGCTAAGCAGGTCTGGGTGGGGGGCTGTTAGAGAATCCTATGGAAGAATGATGGGATAAAAATGTATTTAGTAATGTATCATAGTGAATACTTTGTCATTTTTTGTAACTCTCTGTGAAATGGATTTCCTGCTTTGCAGCTGCTTTAAAATATGTTTTAATTAACCAGCATAACTGAATGCAATTCTACTGGTAATATTCCAGTAAAATTGAACAGCAAAAAATTCCATAGCTCTCCCAAAATGATAATAATATTTTATCATCATGTTTAAAGTTTATTACTTTTTTAAAAAAAAGTCTGATAAAGGTACAGTTAATAAACGCAAATAGCTCAAGCAGTGAGAATAAAGCAGAAACAGCACAAAAATTAAACTGTTTAAAAGGCAAGGGATTATTAAAGTCTTTCCTTTTTGAGCTCCTATGATCAGATGATCTTGAGCAATGTCTAAAAGAATAATACATTATTTACTAAAGGAAAATATGTTAAACAGAAATTTGGCAACCAAGTAGGTTGTGTTTGGATCACTGTCTAGCATCAGATAGGGGATATTATCCCCTTGAAGTTTATTAAACAGAGAGCAGGTTAAAAGCGTTCAGATCCAGCAGTTCTTAAAAGCAGTAACAAACCAACATTCCAATATTTTGTGAGACAGAGTATCAATTTTACCCTGACCACAAGGGCAAAGACGATCTGAATATGGAATACGACGAAATCTCCCCTGTGATACTTCAGATGAGATGGCATTATGATGAGCTAAAGCAAATGCTTTAGGTGTCTCATGTATATTTGCAGAGTCCAAGGAGGTAAGATACCAAAGAATTGACTTGAGCAGACTCTGTGAGAGCGAATCACTATACTATTGTAATCCAGTTCCTAAAGCTATGCTGGACAAGTGAAAGGGCCTTTGCCTTCCCTAGCAGGAAGATGTCTTCAGTTATAAGCCCTAGCTTATTTTTACTTTGCACCTGGTTGTTTTAATGAGTTGAACATTTCTCTGAGAAGCTGTTTCAAAAGCTAGTGGCCACAGACACTGGCTTAGATGCAGTGATGCACAAGCAGAACTGTTACTGGATTTAGAGCAATCTCACTTGTGCATAATCTTGTCCAACACCTAGCATTTCCCCCCTATCTTATAGTGCCCAGAAATTGTTTGTACAAATTCTTACTAAGTGTGAAAATAGTTCAGGAAGGATATGTTATATTGAACTTAGTGTAAGGTGCTATCATGAAGGTTTCTTCTGCTTGTTCAAGGACTCTTGCACTTGAAGAAATCTTCCAGTAGATCAAAGTCTATTCATTGCCTCAGTTTTATTTCATACATGGGAAGGAGCATGAATGCTGGTTGTTTATGGGGATGCAGGGATAGCAAGTGGTATGATTTTTGCAGCCAGTACATGACTCCTTTGTATGAGAGAATTCATCTTTGCTGAAAGTCTGTATTCTTGTCATGGGCTTGCTGCAAGATATAAATCTCAGAAGGCTATCAATATCATTAATATTCAAAACACAGTGGGCCAGATCCTATGATTCCTTTCTGTCAGCAGTGAAACATGCCACTAGTGCCAGTGGAATGGAATCACAGAAACCAGTCTGCTCTGTTACATAGCACATTTGTATTTTTAAATGCTATTATTCCCTGTAAATTTTGAAGGATGCCGTAGATTTTAAAAATTAAAATAGTACGAATATATACCGACTACATGGCAACAACTCCAATGTCAATGAAAATAAAAATAGAATGTGTTTTATAACTTAAGTAGTGTACATTTTGTTGAAACTGTTAATTAATCATTAATGTGTTAATTAATACTCTTTGGCAGACTTTGTCATTGAGCTAAAGGCACTCTGTGCTATTTTTATGTCGATCACTGTAATTCTAAGCAGTCCCTATGAAGCTCATGGACTTAAAAGAGTGTAACCTTATAGCAGTTGTGGTGTGCATTTCCCATTTTTTCTTACTTGTGTCAATAAGCAGTTTGTGAGAGAGTATAAAAGAAAATTTTGGTATATGATTAAAAGAAACTGTAATTTGGAATCAAGTCCTCAAGTTCATGCAGCAGTGAATATATTTACATTAGTTCAGTCAGTGAGACTGCACTGCAATCTTAAATACCTGTACTGAGGTATCTGCTGACAGTGTCAGTCTGTTATTGCATTCTAAGGCTAAAGTAATTGTGATATTTGTTACTAAGCCTTTGTATATGTCTGTCAAAGTAACTGAATTGTAGATTTTCTACATGCTATTTGTTTCTCTACAGAAAAATAGAAATAGTGCAGTTTGCAAGTCGTACCCGGCAGCTTTTCGTTCGACTGTTAGCCTTGGTGAAGTGGGCAAATAATGCTGGAAAGGTGGAAAAATGTGCGGTAAGCTTGAGAGTAATGAAAAGTTTGCAGATTGTGATGGGAGCAGATGGATGTTGTATTCTGATAACTGTGAGGCTTGTGTGTCAACATTCCAAATGTTCAACAATTGTGATAATTAATTAGAAAATTCTAAATAAAGAATGTTAAAAATACTTTCATTTTGCTTCTAATTAGCCAAGCAAACTCTTCACAGTCTGCAGACTGTGGAAGCCCTGCAACTATGTTGCAGACTAGATCTTTTCCTGTTCCCCATGTTGTCTTCAGCCTCCTGGAAGGCTGTGCTGAGCACTGAGAGACTCTCGGAATCAGCATAGGATATAAGGCAGCAATGTGAGAGGGAAATCCAGATATCTCAGGCCTCTTAGAACCCCCCCATCCCATCTTTCTATGAGCAGATCTGCCTTCCTGTTGCACAAAGGTGCATTTGGATTCAACCTGTTGCCATGTAAAATGGACAACTATGTAACTTTAAAATTAAAATGTAAGTTGAATCAAAATACTTTGAGCCAAAATACTGTATCATGATGTAGGTTTGTCTTAAACAGTGAGGAGCATTACATTATTGCAAGTATTTTGGTATGATGAACATAATGATATGGCATTTTTTCAGAAAATTCTGATACTGTCCAAGACCCTTCCTAAAACTCATTCTGTGTACTTCAGAGTACTATAGAAATGGCACAGTCCACAGAATGTGTAGCGTCAGGCTGTATGTAGTGCTGGAGTGTGATGATCTTCACCCTAAAAAGCAACTTGTGGTGAGCCTCCATGTGTATTGAGATTATGGCACTGGGAAAAGTCTGTGGGTAACTCCCCCCCCCTCGATAATTTCTCTGAGTGATAATGGATTTTTATAAGCTGGTTTGAACTTGGTTTTTTTTGGGGGGGGGGGAGCAAGCATGATCTTTCCCCTTCTAAAAGTAGGTGTATATTTACAGCCAAGGAAACAATGCAGGGAGCACTCTCCCCTGCAATGCCATGGCCCAGATCTCTGTTGAACCCATCAAGGTAGAACATCAGAAGGTTCCTTGGCAGAAATACAGTGTTCTGCCATTGGTTAGCTTGGCTCATTTGAAGTCAATAGAAATAAGCCTGTGAGTGGATGTGTACTGGCTTAAGATTTGTAGATTTCAGCCATGATCTCTTCTGCTATTTTTAAGGCTCAGGTTAATAATTTATATTCATTACAAAAATGTTGGCCTGGCCAGACTCTGATCTTTGCCTCCCTGGTTTAATCTCTATCCTACTATCGGCCTATGCTACTCTTTTTCTCTCTTCCCCTCCCTCTTCCCCAGCTCTCACTTTAGCCAGACAGCATTTCAGGTAAGTGGACTTGACTTTTGCCTATGGCACTCAACTACCTTGGGAAGATCAGAACGTACTTGATGTGGGATTTCCCATCATTCCAAGCTTGTGGTCTCCCACTGTATAGCACTGCCTTCTCCATCTCCTGTATGGGACTGCCAGCAGTACCTGGAAGGGTGATGGGACAGAGTGTGACCCTGGGCACATCCTCTTGCAGTGGCACAGCCCGGGTTTTGATCTGCTGGATACATGGCATCTTCCTTTCTTAAACTCTTTCTTGTGTCACTTGATTTCCTTTCACATTACTTCCAGTACCAAGTTGCCTTGTGGCAAAGGTCCTGTGTTCTGTTTTTCATCTTCATATATTTTTGAAACATTTTCTTGTAAGAGAATCTTTTCTTCATCTTTAATAAGGACAATCTACGTTGCTATGTAGGTTGAATCAGTGTTTTACCTATGTGGTTAAATCATGTTTTAAGGAATCACTACAATATATCTTTCACCAAAGACTTGTCATTTTGAACAGAGTACTGATTTGCTCTTATAAATTTGGCAGTGAATTAGGGGTGAAGAACTGACTATAAGGGACAAAGTATTCTCTGTTGTGGCACCTTATGTATGGACTTAACGTACGCATTTGCCTGGCATGTAGGTTGCTGAGCTTCAGGCACCACATGAAAATGTTCTTATCCAGGCTTCTAGTGGGATTCAAAATTGCTTTTGCTTTCTGCTTATTTTAGCTTGCTAATGTGGTTTGTTTTTGTTTAATATTTTGTTCATCTGTATTACGTTGTTTTGATTGCAGTACTTTAGCTGTGTGGGTTTTTTAAATAGGTTGGTATTGTGTTGAAAATCTGTGGGTTAGGAGGTTGGATAGAAATATTTCAGTCAGTTATAAAACTTGAAAAAGTTTGAGCAGTTCCTGTTGTTGTTTTTTTACAGATGATATCAAGCGTTCTAGATCAACAAGCTATTTTATTTGTTGACACTGCAGATCGTTTAGCATCACTAGCCAGAGATGCTTTAGTTCATGCTCGTCTGCCCAGCTTTGCTATCCCTTATGCTATTGATGTGCTGACAACTGGGTCATATCCACGACTGCCAACTTGCATCAGGGTACATTGCTTTGTAATATAATTTATGTAATATACTGCCTTAAATGCCTGTCATAGTTTGCACAGATGGGAAAGTCTTTCAGTTTTATTTCTGATAATGCCTTGATTAAAAGAGGGTTTAATGACCAAAATTCATGTTAAAATATTTTTTTAAGTCAGACTGCTGTACCTTGGTGGGAAGAAGGCAATTTTCACACATAATCATCAGGTGAAGGTGTTCCATCCTTCTTGATGAATGCCAAGTATTTAATCTCTGTGTTTTGATAAGTATTGGTTGAAGGCCTGATTAGTTGGCAGGTTGTGCTGGCCAAAGATGTGTGTCAATTGCAGCACCCAAAGGCTGTGAAAAAAATTACTTGTGCGTGACATTGACGGAAAAGGCTGTGTACACTCATGCCCAGGGGTTTAAAGCCTCTTCTTTCCAATGTTCATCACCTTGATTAATTTAAGGATATGCCAAAAAAATTTGCTTCTCTCTCTCTCTCTCTCTGCATGTGTTTGTGTGTGTGTGTTTAAGTGTCCAGGATTCAAAGGATTGTGAAACTAGTTCCCTTCCTGTACCTTCCCTGTGCAACCACATGGCAAACTGCTTTGGAAAGTCCCTTCCTCTTCTAAAAGCAGTTTATTGCACGGAATTTGAGTGGTTGCTTTGAAACCCGTAACATGGATTGCGAGATTGGTTCCCACATCTTATTATGGTTGCTGAATGTTTGAGTGAAATGCAGAATAAACTGAACAAAAATAAATAAATGTGTTTGTTTTTAACAGGATAAAATAATTCCTCCTGATCCAATAACAAAAATTGAGAAACAGAATACACTTTATCAGTTAAATCAGATTCTTCGCCATCGACTGGTGACAACAGATCTTCCACCACAGCTGGCAAATCTTACAGTTGGTAAGTACTGAAGTTACTGCAGTCACTTTGCTTCAGGCTAATTAGTGTTTGTGGGGTAGATTTAAGTAAAGTAAGGTGGGATTAGAGCCCTTGGACAAATGTGAGCATTCTCTGAGATTTTTTAAAAAATTCTTTACTGGCAACCAGAAAGATGGATCATTATTGCTAGAGGTGTGGGAACTTTTCTCCGCTCCTATCTTTCTTATCCTCTCATTTTGTGTTAAAAGATACTACCTGGATGAATATTACTTTTTTCTGGTTTTCTTTGTCTAGTCTATTTGCAATTTTTTTAATTTTCTCACATATACCCTTATACACACATACAATAAATGACAGGAGAAGTTATGGATCACTCATGACTAGGAGCTATAGCATGTTGATAGAAAACTAGCTGATGAAGGCACAGGAGCTTTGTTCTTTTATCACTAGAAACTCTGTTTACATTGATTAAAACGGAGTTGAATAGTGTACCACTGTCTAGAGATCTGCATGACTAACTTCACACAGTTGGGGACGTGTGTGTGTGCATGCGCACGCATACACACATTCTGATATTTTAACTAAACAGCAGCCCTCCCTCCTGTATGGTAAATTGTTGTTGAATGCCCAGGAAATTAAAGAGCAGTTACTAATGTAAATGTATTGGGGGTAGAATGGGGAATGCTGTTCATAGGAACAAATTCAAAAGACTCAAAGAGTTGATAGCCCTGGCTATGGCTAAATAAATTCTTGGGTTAGTGGTTAGGTGGCTAAATTCTTGGTGGCTAAATAAGTTAAAGTGGCTAAATAAGTTCTTTGTGTGGTGGTTAAGTGTGCGGACTCTAATCTGGGAGAACCGGGTTTGATTCCCCACTCCTCCACTTGCAGCTGCTGGATGACCTTGGGCAAGCCATAGTTCTCTCAGAGCTGTTCTTGAAAAAGGGCAGTTTCTGTCAAAGCTCTCTCACCCCACCTACCTCACAGGGTGTCTGTTGTGGGGAGGGGAAGGGAAAGGAGTTTGTAAGCCGCTCTGAGACTCCAAGTGAAGGGCGTGGTATAAATCCAATCTCCTCCTCCTCTTCCTCTTCTTCTTCTTCTTCTTCTTCTTCTTCCGTGAAGCTTGTTTAGCTCCTATCTTGGACTGGATGAGAGCAAGCACATGCAAACTATATATAGATAAAAATAGAATTGTTGATAGTAACTGTGACTTAGGGGAGGTAGGAATGTCTGTACTTCCTAGGATCCATGAACAAACAGGTTGGCAATCTGTGCATAGTCCTGGATCCAGCCGTGGTCCTGGATGTCTAGGTGGCAAGGAGCACACTTTATCAATTCTAGCTGCAATGCCATCTGTGCTGTTCTCTGGAGGAAAGACATTGTCTCGGGCATTCAGATTTTGGTAAGCCCTTGCCCAGAGCACCGTGCTATATGTGGGGCTGCCATGAACTGGTACAAACTGTAGCTGCCTGTCTGTGGGTAGAGGTGAGGTGTAGAGCACATACTTTGCTTCATGTGGTTGAACAGCTCTGCTTACCATTTGGCTTCTGGACTCCGTTAAAGGGGCTGGCTGTTATTTTTGAAGTCCTTCATGATCTGGTCCTGCCTTCTCCCATATGTGGCTTCTAGATTTAAGGGTTATTGCAAGTGAATTCACTGAGGAGTGAGCACCCTCAAGTTGACCTTCTTAGCTGTGGGACCTATAGTGGGGAAAACTCTCCCTCTGGAAGCTCAGTAAATTGCCTCACTGCACATATTTGAGTATCTTGTGAAGATGTCTTATTTTGTGAGGCTTGTGACAGGTAGATTTCTGGATAACAGTGTGCACTGTCTCTGATTTGCAATCTTGTGCTGGTGTGCAATATGGCTGTAAATGTTTTATATAGACTTTCTGTATACTTGTACACTACTTTGTTTGTGACTGAATGTGGTTTTAACAAAGCTAATGTTAATTTTTAAAGAGGGACAGATGTGTGGTATGCGCACACCCATTAAAAATTGCTGTATATTGAAAGTCATTCTTATTTCTGAAACAAGACCTCTGTGTAAACATTTTAAAAGACCCTTTGTCTGTTTCTAGTTAATGGCCGTGTTAAGTTTCGTGTTGAGGGTGAATTTGAAGCCACCTTAACAGTGATGGGAGATGACCCTGATGTCCCATGGCGCCTTCTGAAACTGGAAATTCTGGTTGAAGACAAAGAAACTGGAGGTAGTGCCAAAAGTCAGATTATTATGGATCTAATACTGCTTTATATTTGAGTGCTGGCCCCACACTGATAGATTCCATTAACTCTTCTATTGAAGTAACTTGTGTTGTTTCTGGGAGCCATCTTAAATATTAATGATGTCTTTTTCAGCATTTTGCTGTGTGCTCTCAAACTGGACACTATCGATAACAGCTCTCCAGACATTCAGAAAAACTTACTATGTTCTAGCACCCTATGTGGCTTTGAACAAACCTTTAAATGTTGTCAATAGATAAAAGCATCAGATTAGAACTGGGAGCTGTCAAGGAAGTCTGGGGCTGAGCAGCAGAACCAACCCCCCATGTAAGGTCAACCTGCAGGGTGAGTCTCAAAGACAACTCACACACGTTACTTCAGTAGCTGTAGCCGCCCTAGCCGATGTAACTGTATTCAGATTGAAGCCACCCAAATGCAAAAATACACAAAATATAATGGATGTGTTTTATTGAAAGGTTGTGCAGGAATATACAAAAAAGAGCGAAGAACAGTGGGAATAATATAACAAAAGCTAAATAGCTAGTCCTAGATACTTACAAAACAATGATTCTCTAATTCAGAGGGTACTTAACAAGGCAGAGTTCAAGATAATTTCCAAGTCCAAAATCAACAGGTATCCTGCCATCCTGGCCCTCCCCAGTCAAAAGGCTGAGCCAAGCCCTCAAGCTGTGGCAAGACCTCCAAGACTTGAATGAAGGATCTTACTTTATGCCTCACAGCCTACACTGGCATGATTCAGGGTTGCCAATCAAAAGTAGGACCAGTGACCAAAAGTAGACCCACTTGACCATTGGTGTTGCTAACCAGGTGAAATAACCAATCAAATTGCCAATTAGTATCTGGTGCTCTGCAGTTAGATCTGACTAATAAGCTCCAGTAAATCCTTGCGTTAACTAGAGCAAATGTGCAGGCCTCTTAGGGTGGCTTTGAAACCTTTAGGGTTGATGACACTCTTTGCACCTGTAAACTGTCTCCATCCACCCTTATTTCTCTCTCTCTCTGAGTCACTGTCAGTGTGATTTTGGTGCTCGGTTAGTGGGAATTTTCCATGTTCTGCAGGCCTCAAGCATGAACCAAAGTTTTGAATCTAAACAGGAGACTATGAAAAAGCCTAGTCTCTTGGCAGGGCCCAGTGTTCAAGTTCACTGGATGACCTTATGTCAGTCACTTTACATCTGTCCCTTTACCTAGTCTGCTTCAGAGCATTGTTGTGTGGATGCACTGGGGGAATGGGAGAGATCCATGTATGCTGTCCCGAGCTGCTTAGGGGAAAGGTGGGATAAAATGTAATAATGTTACTAAAAGTGTAGCAACGATGCATTAAATTATTGATCTCTTTTTAATTTAATGGAAGATGGTCGAGCCTTGGTTCACAGTATGCAAATCAGCTTCATTCATCAATTGGTCCAGTCTCGTCTCTTTGCTGATGAGAAGCCATTGCAGGACATGTACAACTGCCTACGTATCCTTTCTAAAAATGTGTTATGAATTGGTATCCATAGCCTTTCTCTTAGAAGCGGTTCCCAAAGTAAGATGTGTATAGCGGGTACACAACTACATGCAGACGACAGGGCTTGTGTGAAAAGCTGGGTGAACAGTTTGTGGAAGCTTGCAGAAGCTGCAGCTGTTTATTGGATCTCATCTATTGCTAATGTATTAGCTTATTCCTGGCCTTTTCCAAGCTGGGGCTACTTGAGGCAAAGTTGGAGAGGAGATCAGTGAAGATGACTTTACCTTACCTGGATGCTTACCTTACCATTCCTGATGGAAAAGCTCATTTGTCAATCCCTTTCTTTGACTGTCAAGGGGAGCGAGAAAGTTTGACTGTCAAGGGAAGTTTCTTTATTTTTGTCCTGTTTTATATCAAAGTTTGCTCTCAGAAATTTAAAAAGTACAAATGGTTTTGAAGTTCAATAAACATTTTCTTGGGAGAAGGGACATTCAGCTGAGTTTGAATCTATGCACAGTAGACAGTACTTGGCTGCTTTCTGCCTTTTCTCTGTGTTGTCAGTTGAAAGTTGAATCTGGAAGCAGGGGAACCAAGGGGAAACACCCAGAGACCCTCACTTTCCCCTGGTTTTTAACTGAAAGGTTCCATCTTGTTTTATGGTATTCCTATAGCTTGAGGGCTGTTTTATGAAGCATTTTAGGCTGTTTCATGTTGTCTTTTATAGCTTGCCTTAACATTGATGTTGTTATGATAGTGGCTTTTTTGTCTTCTCATACTGGCTTTTATTTTATGAGACACCTTGACAAAATCTCTGGGAGGCAGCATATACATTTGGTAAACAAATATAAATTAAATGTAGGGCTGACTTGGAGAAAAAACTGCTGCCATCTGAGCCCATGTATCAAATAATTTCTTTGGGAAAGCATATCTTCCTGCTAAATAAAACACCATTTCTCCCCCTGATATTTCTAAGAAAAAGTAGAAAAGAGGGAATAAATTGAAGAGAAATTCGAATGACAGTATAAAATAATATATAAGCCACAAAGACTTATATGATCCCCAAAGTTTACCATGTCTATCAGCATTTATGCAAACATTTCAGATATATGTGATATACCATTTTAGTGTTAAGCTAGATTTTTTAAAAATACAGATTGCAAAAACACAGGAGGTAGGAAACTGCTCGTAATGTGTTGGATAAATACAGCTTTAAATTATTTGCTGCTGTTAATGTTGCTTTGCGATGAACAATTCAAATAACAAGAAGTTTTTCCTGTAGTATATGAGCAAATATTTTACTAAAAATTATTGCAAGTTGCAACAATGTTTTTCTGTGTTAACTTAACTTGAATCCCGTAGACTCCTTCTGCTTGTCACTACAGCTGGAAGTTCTACATTCACAGACTTTAATGTTGATTCGGGAACGTTGGGGTGACCTTGTGCAAGTGGAGCGCTACCATGCAGGCAAATGTCTGTCCCTCTCTGTTTGGAAGTAAGTGAAAGAATTGCTTTCTTGAATGAGAGGGAATGGTTGTAATATATATAGTATAGCTTGTCACATACTGTTCTAATTTTCCATTTATAGAGGATTGCTAAGGTAGAGGATCTATGAAAAACGTAAATGGCATTCATGACCAAGACTTGGGTTCAAGATGGGAAGACAGTACCTCTCTCCCAGCTGGCTCCTCCCAGGTTCTTGGTCCTCCACCAATCCTGGACTAAGGGGCAGGGGGGAGGAGTGACTCTGTTCATTCGGGAGGCTTACTCCTTCAAGCTGCTCCCGCCACCAAAGCTTACAGGCATAGAGTACACTGGCTTTGTGTAGGAGGCCAGGGAAAGTTTAGCTATTTGGTTGGTGTACCATCCGCCCAACACACCAATCAGTACCCTACCATCCCTGATGGAGTCACTCAAGGAAGCAGTGGTACGCCCCCTCTTAAAAAAACCATCTCAGGACCCAGCCAAATTGGCCAACTATCGGCCGGTTTCCAATTTGCCGTATTTGGGCAAATTAATTGAGAGGGCAGTGGCGATTCAGTTGCAGGGTTTTTTGGATGGCACTTCCATATTAGATCCCTTCCAGTCCGGCTTCCAACCAGGCCATGGGACGGAGACAGCACTGGTCACCCTCACAGACAGCCTTTGGAGGCATCTGGATCGGGGTGGTTCAGTGTCAGGTTCCACAGCCAACAACGGAGTACACGCTTATCAGAAAGGTTATACTTTATTGCAGAGCTATAGAGGCATTAACATAGTCACTGTTAAGAATGGCAACGGTCCTACAAGCATAATGGGATATAGGGTATTCGTATGCACCCCCCCTTTTCATAAGCCAATTAGCCAGGCTCCCACGTGCGGGAGAAGGGTCCCCAGGCCGTTAGAGGCCGCAGCTGGGAACCAAAAGCGCTCCCACGATTCCAGGCAACCCAGACACTACACCATCAACCTGCAAGGTCAGAGATAAGCAAGAAGTACAGAAGCAAAAGTAAAGAAGCAGCATCTGGCTGACATAGGAAGAGAATGAATCCCACCCCCCATCATGGCAGCATAGCTGACATTCAGCAGTTTTGTTGTTGTTGTACCTGTTGGCGGTGTTCAACACGGTTGACCACCAACTACTCATCCACCGCCTCGCTGATGCTGGGATTCAGGGGTCTGCCTTGCAATGGCTTTCCTTGTTTGTTCAGGGCTGGGGGTAGAGATGCCACTCCTGACTTTTGATGGTGTACCGTTGGTGCTGGTGTCGGAGGTCAGGAACTTGGGAGTGCTCTTGGATGCCCAGGTAGCAGCCACTGCTACCTCTAACGATGGAGGCCCAGGTAGCAGCCACTGCTAATCAGCCTTTTATCATCTTTGGCTGATCAGGCAGCTGGTTCCCTCCTCGAACGCTACAACTTGGTGACAGTGATGCATGAAATTGTCACCTTGAGGCTAGACTTCTGTAATGCTCTCTACATGGGGCTGCCCTTGTCCCAAATCCGGAGGCTTCAGCTGGTGCAGAATGTGGTGACCGGGCTGTTGTTGGGTCTCCCCATGTGTGTTTGCTTCAAGGTGCTCGTGCTTAACTTTAAAGCCCTTTATGGTCAACGGCCTATCTACCTGAGGGACTACCTTTTCCCACATGGTCCCCAGAGAGCACTGTGGTCAGGATCCCAAAACCCAAACCCTTCCGGACCCTAAAGACGTCAGGCTGGCATCAACTAGGGCCAGGGCCTTCTCAGTAGCAGCTCCACACTGGTGGAACAAGCTCTTGGAAGAGATCGGGGTCCTGTGGGACCTTTTACAGTTGCGCAGGGCCTGCAAGACGGACCATTGTTTACAAGGCTGTTAAACTGGCTGACATAGTACTGAAATGCTTCAGATTCCAAAACAGTATTTTTAGGGCTCTTAGCCACTTAGTCAACATATCTCTGTATTAAGCCAACAGGTGGTTGGGAGAAAAACAGGAACTGCGTCTCTTCATAAGGTCACCATTAAGATTGATGAGAATGATGTGTCAAAGCCTTTGCAAATTTCCCATGAACCTCCACTTCCAACTTGCAATTCTAAACTAATTGAAAGAGCTATGAAGGTAAATATTAAAGATGGCGTTGATATATAATTTTATTAAGAAATTGTTTTTCAAGTAAATGTATCTAGCATATTTATGTGCCACCCTCCCATTAAAACTTGCTCAGGGTTACCTACATTAATAACTGAACATTCAGATACAGTAAATATTCTGAATTGTATTACAAACAATTAAAAACTTAAAGAAATCATGATCACTAATGTTTGTCTACACTGCTGTGGAAATCTCAGCTCAAAATGCTCCATTTACAACTATGAGCTTAGATTTAGGTTTAGTAATAGTAATGTAACTGTTTTTTTGAAGTAACTGCTTTATCTTCTGTTTTTCAGATAGATCACTTGTCTGTAGAGAAGCTCCTAATAGATAGTGTCCATGCAAGAGCCCATCAGAAACTCCAGGAACTGAAAGCCATTCTTAAGGGTTACAATGCCAATGACAATTGTATGTGGTCTTTGAAATGCTCTGAATTTGTTCTTAATGTTGTGGTTCTGTTTTGCACTTTAATGCAAAACATAAATATTGAAGTGGGCAAAACAGACGAATGCCAACTTTCCTCTGCCTCACCAAATTTACTTTTCTGTTTAAGGTTCAAATTGGTAGCTTTGGTGGGCGAAGACTTCTCCATCTGCTTCAGAAGAAAATATTCTTCTGTACTATGAACTTCTTGCTCGAATTGAGGGATTTCTTTGATTTATATTGCTTTGATACCTCACAGAAAATCAATTTGCTTTATTTTAAAAATAAATTAATAGCAGACACTTTCATATTTCTTGAAGGCGATAGAACCCTGCTATGTATATACTATAACTAGAATTGTCTTTCCTTGGTCTGTTGGACTGGATAGCATTTTTATAACTAATGAAATTGCTGGCAATGGTGGGTTTTTAGTTCTTTTTTTGCTCGACTAGCATTTAATGGAACTTGGGAGAGTGCCCAAAAACTGTTTCTCATGTAGAATGCATAATGTATATAGTTACTGAGAGAAGGTTCCCTATTTTACTGCTTTTATACATGAAACTGCTTCTTCTAGTGTCCTGGCCCCACTGGCGGACCTCCTGATGGAACCTGGCATTTTTGGCCACTGTGTGACAGTGTTGGGCTGGATGGGCCATTGGCCTGATCCAACATTGGCTTCTCTTATGTTCTTATGTTACAGGACCCAGTGCCGTCATACTTGTATTCAGGCTCCCCAAACAGAAGTGCCAGATTTTTATAGATCATATGGAAAAGCAGCAGGCTTTATTCACTAAGGGTGTATTGACTGATGTTTAACCTTTTATCAATAAATGTATTTTCAAGTGAGTGAGCAAGCGATCACCAGACAAAACAAACACAAATGTGCAAAATGGCATAATTGTTTTTTATTCAATTGGTTTTGTTCTATTGATGTTCTATTGATGCTCAATTAAAACTTAATATTGATTCTATAAAATAGCTTTCATTCAGAAGTATTTATCTTGCAATTAAAGAATAATTTCTGGAAAGTCAGTGTTAGCACTGGTAGATTTGTTTGCTTGATTAAACCAGACTGAACATTATATCTTAGTGTACTAACTCGTGATTTTTTAATCTAGCTTTTATAGAAACAGCACTCCCAACACTTGTTATCCCTATTCTGGAGCCATGTGGTCGCTCTGAGTGTCTACACATCTTCGTAGACCTTCATTCTGGAATGTTTCAACTAATGCTTTATGGACTTGGTAAGTAAATGAGACTTTACTTCCATGTAAGTGCATTCTCCTAACTATGATGACAAAGTTCAGTGGGGGGATATCTCCATGGCCTTCTAACTAAATGAAATTAATTAATCTTGGCCAGTAATGCTGTATTGAATTGAATTTTTTTGCCAGGTGGGATGCAGATCCACAGGGAATCCAGTAAAATCATAGGCATGATTTGTAGGGTTCCCTGCCAGCACACATGGAGATGGCCAATGTCTTAACAGCGGCCATTAAGTGGAATAGATTGTAAAAGATAGGAATAGGAAGATTTTGTAGTTAAAATGCTTGAATTATCCATCGTAGTGCTTAGCACACTCTAGAACTGCTGAGGGAGAAGTATTAAAAG